AACTCGCTCCTTTTATATGCCCGACCATACTCGACGCTTTCTACTTACTTATTAACGAAATACTGACAATTATACATTTAGTCGCTTTAAACGACGCATTTACGAATAATGATTATTAATGTCAAATGCAACGAGCAATATAGTCTTCCATAATTCGTATATTTTGAAAAACTTTAAAGTGCATCAGAACGATACTAATTTCTTATATTAACTACAAACATAATTTTTTTCTTTTAAAGATATATTGCAGACAATTATAATATTTTCTTTTAATTTTTTATATTTTTAACTCATTTATTATTCTTATAATTAGTGAATTTATTTAAAATCACAGAATAAAGTTATATTTACTATTTAATTAATTTAATTATGTAATTAAAATAACGTGAGCTTTCATAAATTAGTGAAAAAAATATGAATATTTTTACAGAGAAAATAAATCATTTCAAAAGAAATGAAAACTTAATGAGATATCTTTTTACAATATAAAATAATTATTTATCACCTCATTCTGTAAATTTCATAAGACTAATCGTAGAAATAATTACGACTTTGAAAATGTTACAATTCATGTACACTTATATGTGGATGACATTAAAATACCTATCGTTTCATAATAAATAAGATCTTACAAAAATTTATAACCGTTCAGTAAATTATTATTTTTATAAGATTTATTATATATGTATTCGATGTAGTAATATTCGTACATTAAACAATTTAAATACGAAAACAGAAAAAAAAACGAATAATCGTATGCAACCATAAAAGAATATACAAAAGTTTATTATCTATGTCGATCACGTGTCCTTCCCTCAAATTATAATGTAAAACGAATTGACAATTTTAGATGTAAAATTAACGACATAAGATTTTATTGCCTTTGTGTTAATTATATCTCAAATTTATCGATAGAAATATAATAAATATAAATTCTACCAAAATTCTGTAATGTATTATAAGTTATTAATATATTTACGGAAATACATTCAGAAATTAAATAATACAGGTAAAAATTAAATTGTCTAACTTGTCCCTTAAGCATGTTTTTTTGAAAATAAGTATTTCATTGAGGGACTTAAAAACGTTGTCAGCATAATATTTCATACAAATTGGGTATCCTTATTTTTGTTAATTCATGAATAGTCTTATGATTTATAACTAATATGCGATTATATTGAACAGCTTTAATGTGTAATAAATAAACTCTATCGTACTTTAGTAATTCAATTATAGTAAACTTTTTTTAGAACCGATATTTTCAATAATATATTTATGATTCATTTTCAAAGTTAGTATTGTAATATATTTATACAACTTATTGACAATACTGAATATCTCCATAGATCCAGAATTTTCAATATATAACAAAAAATAAATATCACTGTATATTTTCAGATTTATGATTAACATTATTAAATTACATAAACTAAGCCTCATATTTATGCTAAAACAGCTTAAATTGTCATTTTTATCCCTAGTAATTATCAAGTATAATATCCAAAGGATAATTAATTTTAAATGTAGTTAAAAGCTTTTTTCTAATTACATTAAGTAATATTCCCTTAAAGGTTTCATTAATATTCATTAGAACCGTAGCACGTAATAGATTTTTAACTATCTAAAAAATGTAAAAATACTAAGAATAATAATCTTTAAAGAAAAGTACTCATTATTAACCAATCATTAAACATAATTGTAAAGATAATTTACTTCGTATTTAATTTGAATTTGTAGAAAATTGTATAAAATATATCTGTTACAGACTTTTACTTTATAAAATAGTAATAATCCTTCGAAATTCATACATTTTAATAATATACAAAAATGTTTGTCAGCCACCTTATAAAACATAGTTCTAATTAAATTTTATTTTCGAATTTCATAAAGGATGTACAATTTATATTTATATGTTGGATTATCTATATATATATATATATATTTTTTTTTGATAATATGGTATTCCGATTTAAATGAAGAAGTGCACAAGCAGTGATAGATCAATTAAATGAAAAGAATTTGCTTTAAAATGGGAAAGTGATAGCCTTGATAGAGGTCGAGTAAAATAGCATTCCTTTCCTGCAAATTAATTTTTCTATTAATTTTTCCGTATTAAATGAGATTGATAATTCAATAAATATCATGCTCGTGTTCATTTAGTTTATAAACTTTTTGCGTTAAGTTTACTTGAATATCCACAAAATATTTTCGAAATTTCTAATAATATTTAATATAAAAAAATACTTTATATAAAATTTTTATCTCTTGAAAAATCAATGATATTTACTTACGAACATAACTTTATCTATTTTAATATTAATTCCTTATTAATTACATTAAACTGATCGTTATTTTCATAACTAAAGAATAAAAAAGAATACCGTATACGAAAATGTATAAGAATTAAAAAAATTTTTTAAAAAATCAATATATTTTGATATTTTCATTAACACCCAACGAATTAATAAAGCCTTAATGTATCATGTAATGAAAGTTGTTTGCTAAATGTTCATATAACATAATATAGACGCAATTATTGAACATGCACATGTTTTCATATCATATGCAATATAGGAATCGATATCGGGTATTGGGATTGCCTAAACTCATAAATACGAAAACTATAATTTAAAAACATAAACAAGTAAAACTGTGTATAATATCTTTATTATGCAATGTCACAGTAATGTCGATCAAGTGTATATGCTGTTATGATAATTGAATAAGATATTACTTCGACACTTAAAGTATAAACCCCATCGTTGTCAACGATCGGAATGCGTATTTGAAATATTATCTGATCGTAGAGTTGGAAGTAAATTCGGTACGCGCGTCTCTCATCGTGACGAAACACCATCGCCGCATCTTTCAACTTGTCAGCATATCATTCGATTCACGTAAGTTATAGATCGAAGAGTAATCAGAAGCGCCCAGTTTTGCGCGGCGGCTACTGGAAATCAATTCGAAACGTGCCCCTGTTAACTCAATTTTCTTGGCACCCACGCGATCATGTTCACGTTCGTGGTTGTACGAAAAGATGTTGGAATCTCATTCGTACGGTAAGCTGCGTTCGTGGCATGTAATGAAATGTCATGCAATTGATAAGTTTTGAAATATTTAAAGGCATTCCATATTTATAGAGTTGGCGTAATCACTTTTGTTAGATCGTGTAGAATTTTCCTAAATATATCTCTATATCTCAATCTCGTTTAAACATAAAATTTAATAACCAAAAAAAATCTGTCTCTAATGTTTTAAGACTATCGATAAGAAACTCGGTAAATGTTATAGAATAATTGGGCAATAAAACCGAACTGTTGAGCAACATATTATTTGGAAAAAGCATAAATACTTGCATTTAAAAATCATTACTTCCTACTTAATTGAAATAGAAGTCGTAACAACTGAATAGAAATAATTTTAAAAATATTAAAAAGTAATAATTACATTTTTATTAAAAAGTTGGGCTTTGAAAATTATTTGTCAAATGCAATTACCCTGAAAAACAAATTAAATTAATAGTAATAACATCTGGTTCTACATGTACCAATTATATTAAAAATAATAA